CAGGTGGGTCCGGATCCGGACCGCTAATCCAAACCCCATGAATCTCCTTTAAACAATCAACTAGCTTTGCTTCACCATCCCTCATTTCTCTACCAGTTTTTTTCCTTTCACTAAACTTTCCTGTTATACGTCTTTAGCTCCTGCTTTGGAGCTCATTCAGTGACTGACACACAGCGAGATGTTTTAAGAACTGATTATGTTAAATCTGAATGGCTACAGCTAATTATCACCAAAAAAAATACAATTTCATAGAATATCTAAATTAAAAAGAAATATTTTTAATTCAGAAAAGTCAGCTTCCACAATTAGAAGGAAGACTTTTGTCTTATGGGATCTCCTGCAGAAATATCTAGGAATATAAACAGAAAATTGAGTGGAATTGGCTTTTGAATCAGGTTTTCTGTCACTCTTTCTGTCACTCTTCTAATGACTCAGGAGCTCTGACCTTGAGTGGATAGAAAAGTATTGCTGTGTGTAATGAATATATATAACATTTAGTTTTTTAATTTAATCTTTTAGATAAAGTATCTTTTACATACGTACATTTTCTAAGATTGAATTGAGATTTTAAGAGATTTTTCAGTGACAGATCGTTAGATCCCAGTTGTGAGAAGTAGCACTACTGCAGATCCTTCCTCCTACCTGCTGAACATCTTTTTAATTTCTGCTCCATACAGATCCCCTGTTTTTCTCATGCCTATCGTTATTTGCCCTGTTTCTTTTCACCTCTATCAGCAGATAGTTTCCATTAGTCAGCAGATTATTTCTAAGAAAGAAAAGCAGCTATTGGTCCAGTAATCTCTAACAGAAATGATGGATTTTGTAATAAAAGCTGTGTCAGCTGTGCATCCCCTTCGGCATTCATGTATCAGGAAAATATAAAGTGATCCGATTGGCTGCTCAGGATCATAACCCTCCCCTCCCCCCAAACTCAGCAGCTCTGTAATACCCTGCTCCATCATCCAGTAATGTCATGCCTGCTGTCCCCTGTGAGCCCTACAGAAGGAGTGTTTCTCCAGGGGACAGTTTCAGACTCCGAATCATTTTAACTCACTATTTCCCATTATTCACAAACGCATGAGTAAAAAACTATGCTGTAGTTTTTCACTTTCACCCTTTTCTAAATAGAGCTGTTAAAATGTAGATTACCAGAATAAAGGATGATTAAATGAAATGGTTGGCTCAGCAGACAGTAAAATGGACGACTGCAAGAAAATACTAAAGCAAGGGAAAAAAGGGCTTTAAATATAGCCCGATAAATCAGACTAAATGTGAGATTATTTTTAGTTAGTAATGGCCAACGCTCTGACCAATGAGCGCAACTGACTGTGATGTTGGAAGCGCGACAGAAAGCTGGTGGGGGAGCGTAAAAACAAACAGCCTGTAGGTAACACAGCGAATAAGTCCTTCTTAAAACTGAATGAGCGTAGAGCCTCTTCCAGCTCACGCAACGAAAACCCCAAGTCTAACCCTTCCAACACTGATTCCAAAGCTGAGTCAAATGAGAACTGTTCAATAGTTGATGCCATCTTCCTTGTTGTGCTTTCTTCAGCGTCGCACAGCTTTGTCGTCCCGCTCTCAAAACCCCGCCCACTTTGCATCCAGAAATTCAAAACACATCTCTGCGTTGTGATTGGCCCGCCAAGGAAGGAAGGAAGGAAGGAAGGATACAGATGAATGTATGTGGTTTTTAAGTTCTGCAAATATCTAGAACCTAAAAACTAATGCAGTTTGTCTGGAGGGGCCGCTCAGTGACGCAGTGGGTAGCACGTAGGGGTGGGTATTGCCAAAGACGTCACGATTCGATTTGAATCACGATTCATATGCCACGATGCGATT